CAACTGGCAGGAGGTTCAAGGGGAGGGAATGCACAGCCATGTTTTATTTCTTGAGCTGGGTGTTGCTACCATGAGTTATTTGCTCTTAGAAAATTAACCAAGATAAATAAACACATAATCTGTGTGCTTTTCTGTAAGAATGTTAACCTTTAATACAAAATTTACTTTAAAACTCAGGAACTAATATAATCAACAGCAACCACAAGGCCAACACCATTAACATGTCTAAGGATGAACAGCTTAGCATTGAAGCCTATGAAGTAATTCCGGACTCTCAGGTGTTAGTGACTGAGAATCTGGACTCACTTCAAGTTTGGGACCATAAATCTCAGAAGGCTCTCAACACAGCCAGATAACCCCACTATACTTCCTTACTGTATGTACGTTACCCCTGAGATGACTTATTAACACCTTCCCTTCTCTCCTCACATTGCCAATACCTTCTCAGCTGATGACCTCATCACATACTTCACAGGAAAAAAAATGTCATTTTTACACAGAAGGAAAAACAGTGCAGCCTATTTCTATCAGCCTCTCCTCCAATATCCACCATCTTCCTCAGGCCCCAAGGATGAAATGGTTCTCATCTTAACCTATCACCTCCTCAAGGACTTTCTTCATGATCTAATTCTCTACCCCAGCAACATCAATTTTCTCTTCTGCATGAAATCCAAACGGGCCTAAAATATCAATACATTTAAAGAATATCGCCCATGATTCTATATTTCTCTTCAGCCACCATTTCTTTTTTTAACTTCTCCACTTCCCTTCAGAGCAAAATTCCTTGTAAGAGTTGTCTCTCATTGCTATGTCATTTTTTGACTATTCTTATTCTTTTGGTTTCTTGCCAGTCCTGGGGCTTGAACTCGGGGCCTGGGCACTGTCCCTATGGTTTTGTCTTTTTTTTCTCCAGGCAATCATTCTACCACTTGAGCCACAGCCCCACTTCTAGCATTTGCTAAATAGTTTATTGGAGATAAGAGTCTCATGGACTTTCCTGCTTGGGCTGGATTTGAACTGTGATCCTCAAATCTCAGCCTCCCGAGTAGCCAGAAATATAGATAGGATCCACCAGTTCCTGGCTCTTGTTCTTTTTTATTTAGCGTTTATTTTCATCCCACTACTGAAATGGCCTGTATCATGGCAACTGATTACAGGTTACAAAACTCAGTGGGTTCCTTTCTTCTCCGTGTTTATTGTACGCTCAGAAGACAACTTCTCCCTGATGTTCTTTATTTTTTTGTAGTGCTGGGGTTCTAACCCAAGGTCTCATACATGTTAAGAAAGTGCTCTGCTATTACAATAACTTTAAGTCCTCCCTGATTCTTTTAAATGCCTCCTTATTCTAGTATAACATATGGTGTTAATGGCCCTTTACATTTTTTTCCCTTTACATTTTTTTAAAAATCTTTTTACTGGGAATGGAACCCACAGCCTTATACATGCCAGACAAGCACTCTACCACTGGGCTACGTGCCCAGTCCTCTCGCTAAGTAACCCAGGTTGGCCTCAAACTCAAGATCCTCCCACCTCTGCCTCCTGAGTACTGGGATTACAGATGTGCACCCACCCAGCTTTTTGGCTGTTCTTTCTCAGCCTTTCTCTTCTATGTGATTTCAAAGCTGACTCCATTAGACCAGTCCTAGCCGCCTCATTTCCTTTGCTATCTGCACTGCCCTTATCTCCAGGGCTTCACATACCATCTCTATCTTTATTTCACACAAAGGCTCCAGCCGCCTCCCAGCTCTCCCATCTACATATCTGATTGCCTGAAGTCCATCAGTCATTTTGACCTTAACTGGGCTGGAATAGAACTAGTCTATTCTCTTCATTATAAAATATCTATTCTTCCACTAGCTATCCATATTTCTGTAAATAGCATCAGCTCCTAGAAATTATTTAAGCATTCAGATCTACTTTTATTTATTTATTTACTCTCATACCTTGTACCTTATCCAATAAGTAAATACTGTCCATTCTATTTCCAAGATGGATTCAGAAATCTAACCAACATGCTCTATCTCTGTAGTTACATCCCTAGTTCTAGTCACTCAGACAAGTTCCACTGTATGACCATTCTACTGGCTTTCATACTTGCCTCCAGAATGACTTTGCTAGAGTCAACATCAGACAGCATCATCCATCCATTCCTGCAAAAAGCCACACACACACACACACACACACACACACACACACACACCAGCAAGTCTCTGCAACAGGAAGCAGCTCTATGAGGATGGAACAGCACCACACAGACTGGTAGGGCATGGTGATTTGAGTAGAAAGGCTGTAGCAGGGGGAGGGGGCACAGATACCTAGATACCCTTAAAGAGAAATAAAAGGGAATGTCTCCCTTGGAAACTCCCACAGGTTTGAGCAGTCCTGAAAAGAGATATAGAATGTACTTGATTCCACTGGTGCCCCAGTCCTGATGTCCTGCACAGACAACCCTTGTAGACATTCTTTCTTGTTCACACCACAGGCTTTTTGCCTCTCTCTCTACCTGGCCCTATGCTCATTCTGGCATCAGGCAGGCAAAAAGTCTAAGAAGCCAGGGAATTCATGATCCAAGTGCTACTTTCCATCAGCAAGGGGTAGAAATTGGGGCAAATACAGTCCAGCTTCTTCATCCCTCAGTGGAAAATGCCTGAGGTATATGAACATAGGGTCCCAAGCTGGACTGAACTCCAACTATGGGCAGTGGTAACCAGCTCACACTAGGTATCCACTTTTCTCCCCCCCCTAGCCTGTCTTAACTTCCCCACTCCCTCCTTGTGCTTCCTGGGATTTCCCCTCTCAAGCTATTTGCACGGAAATCCTTCTCTCACACTCTGCATTCTGGGAAACTCCAACTAAGACATATAATAATATTATGCTCTTGCTCTCAAAGGGAATGTCTTTGAAAGAACAGTGTTGTCCTAAATTGAAATGGATGAGATCCCAATACAAAAAAATGGAGATAACACTTTATAAAATGTTTCAAAGCATTAGGAGATTTAAAGTCTCTCCCCATATACTATATTAGCTCTATTTTTATTTATATATCTATATAAATGTGAATTGGCTCTATACTCACCAACTGTATGTATACACTGATGGTAGACTAATGATTCGCCAACTGTATGCATATACTTATTATCTCAGCTAAACCATTCCTTTATGCTCCCAATAGTAAAAAAAAAAAAAAAAAAAGGACTTGAAAAGTCTGCTAAATTTGCCATCCATAACCGCCCACTGGTGACTCCCAGAGAACATATTCTGCTCTCCCACTGAGTGTCACTTGTGTGAAATCTGTTTAAGGAGAGTTGTGGTGAGAGTACATGCATGAGCATGCAAGCCCCCACACACAGACACACACACACACACACACACACACAGAATGCATGCACCACTCAGCAGTCTGCAGAACTTCCCTCCAGTTCTTTTGGAGTGAACCCCACTATTCCCAGCAACCACACTCCCCAGATACCAGCACTGTTGAAAGTGAAGTGCTTGTCCTTGCTGTGTGGTTTGGAGTAAAAGGAGGCAGGATTAAAGCGCTCATTTCCAGTCTCAAAAGTAAAATACGACTTGGCCTACGGCAGTCCTAATTCTTTCCAGAACTCATCCTGGAATTGCCCTTTAAAACAACCAGTCATTAACCCAACTCCGGGTCTTTTATAGCTGCGAAAACCGATGATCGCGCACATCATTTATTCATTATGCTTATTATTATTGTTATTGGAGAAAAGCTGAAGATTCCTGGTGCGGGGTTCAAAGGGGTTTCCAAGGGAAGCAGGGAAGGGAGGAGGAATGAGGAAGCAGGCAGGACCTCAAGAAGGCTGGGCTTCTTGGTGCGGGACAGAGGTGCATGGAAATCCCCAGGGAAGGATGCTGCCAAAGCTCCTTGGCCCGTGCTCCAAGGCCGCCACGCACAGGCGCAGCTGCAGCAGTAACATAGGGAGCTTCTTACATAAGACAGAGCAGCTGACATCACCTTTGCCTTGAGCATCACAGCCCAGCAACCTGTCCACGGTGGGTCACCCTGGTTGCTAATAAATAATTCTGTCTGCAGCCACATTTGGGGTGATCGTTCACCAGGGGACCCCTCCTGGGTGCCCCTTAGAGAGCGGCAAAGGACAGAATGATTGGTTATGTGGAGCTCTGGGGTTTTGCGAGTGAAATCAAGGGCTACAACAGTGACCAAGTGTCTTCTCATGGGTCTTCCCTCACCTAGCAGGGACTAGTTCCCACCTAAGTCCACACGTGAAAATGCACTGGGACATTGGGACAGAGGGAGAACCTTCTGGCAAATTCTGGGAGGGCAGATGGCACAAAGAGCCATTTACTAAGAACCCCTAGGTTGTTCTAGGCAGAAAAGCTATCCAGTGGTTTTCTCCATCTGTACAAGTTCTAGCGCTTTCCTTTCCTCACCCCTCCCTGCGGCCCCTCAATCCTAGAGGAGCACAAGTGGGTGAAAGGCACAAGTTTTTTGGGGGGGACTCGAGGTAGTTTCTGAGGTTACAGCAAGAGTGAGAGACCCGCGGTGGTGCTGCCGATACCCTAAAAAACATCTACTACTCCTCCAGCCCACAAGCAGGCATGGGATGGGTTACAGGGTCTGGGGCTGTTGGAGATCCCAGGAGTCAGCTGCACCCTACTTTGTCCCCTACAAACTCTTGAAAGGGCGAGTCCGAAAAGTAAATAACAGAACCCCACTGCCTCCTGTTCCCCTATAAATGCTCCCCGTTTCTGGCTTCTCTCAGCCCGAGGATATCTGGGAGTTCAAAGGCTACCCTTTGAACTTTCTGCCTGCTGTATCTGCATCCCTGTATCCATCAGCCCTGCTACTGAGTCCCGGGAGGACCAGGTTGGCTCTCGGGCAGAAGTGGAAAGGGGAGAGTGAGGTGCAAGTTGAAGCAGGCAAGGTGCCACAGGGGCTGGGATTGCAGCGAGTAAGCGAGGGCGCGAGGGTGCGGCACAAGAGCCGAGCACCCAGTAGGCACGGCGCTGGTACTCACGCACTGTCTCCTGCTTGGGGTCCAGGGTGCTGAGGACGCGTTGCACGCCACCCAGCTTGCCCTGCAGCGCCCAGACGCGGCGGTGGGTCAGCTGGATGTCGCTCTCGAGCTCCTGGAAGAGGCTGCACGCGTGCCTGGCCACGTCTGAGAGCTGCCGGAGGACGCGGGCCAGGGCAGCGTTGCTGACTGCGCACAGGTCTAGCATGAGCAACACAGCAGCGGCTGTAGCCGAGGACGCATCGCCAGTGGCGGATCCTGCCTCTGGGACCCCCGCCACGATTTCCTCGCCCACCTCGGGGTCTTCGCTGGGGGGCGGCTGAGCCGGATCTGCCACCGCCGCCGCGGGAGCGGGCAGCGGCATCGGAGGTGGTGGTATCCCGGGAAGCACAGGCGGCGCATGGGGAGGCTCCTCGGCCCCAGGCGCTTCGGCCTCCTCCCGTCGACCAGGCAGTTGCAGGGGCGGCGGCGGTGGTGGCTGCGGTGGTTCGATGCTACCTTCACTTGTGTCCTCATCTGGGCCAGGTGCCGGGCGCCGCTGTCGGCACAGCCACTGCGGCTCCACGATCCGCTTGGCGAAAGGCATCCCGCGCGGCAGCAGCCGGGCCCGCGACTTTCCGTTCTCTTCCAAACGCCCCTGCTGAACCGGGCACCGGGCGCGCCCACCTGAGCAAGGAGAGGGCGGGAGTCTGGCCAAAGCAAGGCGAGATCCACACAGTCCAGAGACACAGAGGGGGCTCCTTGGCTCACCTGGTCTCCTCCTCTTCCCCGCCCTCTTGCTAGCAAATGAATCCCCGCTGGTCCTCCTCTGGGTGGCCGGTTCCCAGGAGAGGATGACAAACGCCGCCCGGCACAAAATCCCGGGATGCGGCTGGGCTGTCCTCACTCGCTTCCAGCGGGGGTCGGCTGGCTCTGCTCCATGGGTCCTGCGCTCACAGTCACTGCTCAGGCCACTGCTGCCGCCGCCCGCCTATATAAATGTGTGTGTGTGTGTGCGTGCGTGTGTGTGTGCGCGCGCGTGTGTGTATGGGTGGGTGGGTGTGAGTGTGTGTGCGCGCGCGCCTCAGTTTGAAAGTACCCCAGCGCAGGCCTCTCCCCGCGCGCCCCTCGGCCGCTCCGGGGAGCGATTGCGCCTGGGAGCTCTCTCTCTTGCTTTCTGGGCGGGGAGGAGGTTTCAGAGAGGCATTCGGAAAACCCGGAGACAGGAATCCGCCTCCAGTCCTGGCTCAGGAGGCGGCGCGGGGGCGGGGCAGGGCGGACGCAGGGCGGGGGGAGGCCAGGGCGAGAGGGGCGCAGCGCCCTATGCGGCCGCTGGGAGTCACTGGTGGCCTCATCGGGGGCCCCCCGTACGTGTTGTGGTGCAAAGATACTTCCTCGCTTCCAGGGGTTAGACTTGAAACTCTTAAGTGTGGTGGGGGTGGGGAGTCGTCAAGTTGGGAGTGGGGGTGTTAGTAGTAAGCGCCGGGGGAGGAGGGTTGGGTATTAGGGATGCCACCGATGGAGCATGTTGGAGCAAGTTACGTCGTGGATTTCCGACTTGGTGCAAGTCCTTTTAATTCCTAGAGGCTGCATGTCCGAATGAGCACCAAGAGAGGTAAGCCTGGCATGGACGCATTCAAGTGTGGCCCAAGTGGCCCCAGTGTGGTTTAAACCCTTTCTCAAGCATTTCGTGGCACTCTGCGCTGGGCGTGGTCTCACTCTCCAAAATCATGAATGAGACCCAAACTACCAATGAGTAACACCCCCTCAACCCCACAAAGCTGCCTGCAAAACTCACTGCACATTGTATGGGATGAATCGCATTAACTCCTTCTCACCCTACTGTGTTAATCCAACACAGAGTTTTGAAAGTTCTCCATCGGAGAGATGATGATTCACAGAAGAATGGAAAGTTTTCCCTTCAGTTAACTGAAAGGTATAATTTCTTAACAGGCACACATTTTTCAATTGGAGCAGTCTACAGGCTGAATGCTGGCAGCCGAAACCCTAAAAAGAGTTTGGGAAATGTTAGTAAAATACATGCTTTCATTCCCCCCCCCAAAATGTATGCTGCAAAAAAATTTTTTTTAATTTTAAAGCCACAGCCAGATCTTAAGAATGAAGCCTTCATTTCGTGTGTCTGAAAAGAATGGGAAAAATATGTTTTATGGCATCAATAAAGTCCTGCAGACCTGTGGTGGTGTCTCCTTTGCTCTTTGGCTGGAAACAGGGCAGGTCCAACAGTCAGCACTAACGACTGACACACACTTTGATTATGAAGGCTTCAACAAGACCTTCTCTTACTCTACCAAAACAAGATTTTTGGCAAAGGGATATTCTTATCCCTAAAGGATCAGAGCTGGTGCTTTGGACGTAAAGGGTTATGGTGTCTCTAAGGTACGCACAAATGATCAGCAACAAGAATGATGATGGTAATAATAAAGTGAGAGGGAGGGAGGGAGGGAGAATGGATATCAAAAATAGTGAATCCGGGTAAGGAGCATTCAGGTGTGTGAAATAAATTTCTTACAGTTTTACTTTGAATTTGGTTTTGTATTCAAAATTAAGTCCAAGAAAGAGGGTATTTCTGTACACTCTTTTTACCTTTGGTTCTTTGACCACAGAGATTGGGAAAGCTGGCTGGTTTTAGCTTCACTTTTTTTGTATGTGTATGACACTGAAGATTAAACCCAAGACCTTGAGATTAAGAATTCTTACCACTTGAGCCCCAGTCAATTTGATTTTTGGTTCTTTTTCCAGACAGAATATCCTACTTGCTTTGCCCTAGCTTCAAATTGTGATTCTCTTATCTCCTCCTCCTGAGCAGCTAGGATTGCAAAGCTACACCCCTATGACCCTCTCTTACATTTTTTCCCACCCTTACTTTTCAACATGTTTAAAATTCTGAGCCCAAGCTCTGCTAGGTAGGCACATCAGATGCTCTTCCCAAACACACTGAAGCATAAAGAACAATGGAAGAGCGTGCAAGGTGTTCAGTTAATAGGCATTATGGCAAAAGTCTGCCCTGCCTCCAATTGCATTGCATCCAGCACTGTCCTATTTACAACATCCATGGGACCCAGCAGAGTGGCCCAGTTACACCTGGACATGGGCAGTGAATGAATGGTGTGTAGCTCTCACATCTAAATGGAGTTTTACATTATTGGCAAGTTTCTCCAGTATCAGAGAAGCCATTGTAAGTAAAGAGCAAAGGTCCAGGAGAGGGAAGATTCTAGGGGGATATTTAAGTTGAAGAAAAGGCTAGCTACTTCGGTGTCTGCTCTAACGTGACCAGCACAGATTAAGATTACAAAATGACTCAAAGTACTGTTCAGTGATGCAGAAAGGAAAACTCTGTAATCTCCTAGACTCCTACTCATGTGCTAATAATGTCATTTAGTTAAAAATAAAAGGCTTTGATATTGCCTTTGATCTCCTTGGTTCTTACTGTTCCTTTTTCTTCCTTTGGTGGTCCCTAGTGACCTCTCTGAGACTGCATCCTTCTAAGCCACTAATACAAATGATCAGATTCACTGATATGGTTTGGTAGTGTATTCTACTTCCTCTGAAAGATCCAAATAAAGGCATCCTTAGAAAACTGGGTTATTGTTATACTTTGGTAACACCATCTAAGTAAAAAATAGAAAAAAAGTGTGCTAGCTGTGAGAGGGCAGGTTGACTACATCTTCCTGGTCCCACCCCTCCAAATTCAAGCCCCTTCTTTGTAGTTCCCCTCTCCCCTCCTCCCAGTTTTGGGTTGGATTTCTGCCCTATTGAATTAAAATATTGAAAAAAGATTAAAAGGTGGCAACTATTTGACATTCCAATGAGAATTACCTGTAGTCTTAATGCTTCTGACTTTTCAACACACCAAGGCTGTGTCTTTTTCATTCAAGTCCTAGATTGAACCATTTTACTCTGAGTCTTACCACAGAAAGTTTTGATGAAGTCAAGGTTCCTATCTGCAGCCACACTGTTATTCCTAGTTACATGTGCAAGTATGCGGTTGTCAAAATATCTCTTATACACACGCTCACATGGAGTCCACTCTTCATGCATACATTTACTTATCATGGCTTGAAAGCAAAATGGAAAGAAAAATCGCATGTTAGAATGTCTAATCCCTAGCAGTCATTCACGCAGTTCAAAGGCCAGCACAATTTCCTCAGAAACCCAAATGTGCTGTCAGTATAAATACCTTGGCACTGTAAAACAAACAAAATATCCTATCTGTGGCACCATACCTACCCCACAGTTTCTCTTCAGCCCTCTCCAACCCAGTAGGAAGTAGAGCTTTGGTAAATGATAGAAGTGGCCTGGCTAGCCACATGCTTCCACACAACCATAGTCAATTGTCCTCTAGAACAACCGAAAGTAGCGAGGTAGAGATTTTTAAAGACTCTTCAAAATATTCTGATTTGATGTCCCAGTATTGAGGTAGCACCAGCATTATTTATATTTGAAAGATATTCCTCTTGCCTAAGAAATACCAGAAGATGCATGTGCCTGATCATAAACAACAGTGGAAGAGTATGCAATGCACTCAGTTAGCAAGATTAGTTAGACTATAGTGACTGGTCTCCCATCCCCCACCCAATTAATTCTACCTATTCTTCACATAATCACTGTAATTCATTCCTAAAAGCCCCACTGCTAAGTAAAAATACTGCTTTTTTTTTTTAGGTCCAAGACCAAGACCAAAACTCAAACTTAGTAGCTGACACTTTTGCTCATTGACTGGCACTCTACCAATGAGCCACACCTCCACCCCACAAAAAATATTGTTAAATCACAAAACATTTCCTTTAATTTTATGGAAAAAATTATGACAATTCCATAGAAATAAAAACATACCAAATTTATAAGTAAACCTCAGCTGTCTGGTACTAAGTGAAGACAGTTGTACATAAAATGCAATGTTACCATATCTTGGGAAGGAAGAAGAGTAGATTTGAGAATGGGGGGCGAGAAGAAGAATGAATGAGAGGTAGTTATTCTTGGGGAATTGTTGGAGAGTCATGTGGTTCACACCGAAGCAGAAGACATTTTGGAGTTCAGATTTAACCTATAACTAAACTGCACTTACAAATAAAGCTACAGTACAAAAGATAGCTTTTGGGAAAGAAGAGAGAACCTTAAAACAGATGGAAAGACCTCATATACAAGAACTGCACAGCACTTTAAGCTCCCAACTGAAATGTTAGCTGCTGAGCTGTGAGATCCACCAACTCTTTTACTCTGAGCTTTTCACTGGATGATAGGAGACAGCCAGAAGTCTCTGGAAGCCATGTTGTCTAGGAAGTATGTGTTCTTTCTTACGTGTGAGTTATAGTATAAATATCATGTCTCTAGCTGGGCATCTGTGGCTCACTTACCCCTATTCAGCTATTCAGCTATTCACAGCTATTCAGGAGGCTGAGAGCTGATGATCATGGTTCAAAATCAGTCCGGGCAGAAAAGTCCCCATGAGACTCTTATCTCCAATTAACCACTTAAAAACCAAAAGTGGTGGTATGGCTCAAGTGGTAGAGCACTAGCCTTGAGCACAAAGAGGCTTAGGGACAGTACCCAGGCCCTGAGTTCAAGCCCCAGTACCTGCTCTCTCTC